CACAGAGACAGACATCCCAATGCTCTGCTGCCATGCTCTCAGTAATGCAGTGTGCGTTGAGTCAACTGAGACTAGTAACAAGCAGAGCCATATTTTGTGTGGTGGGACAAGTAAATCATTTTCTGCTTTCTATACCTGAAATGCAGTCAGTTTCATCAAGAACAGTGTAGTGCTCTGGACAAGTTAAGGAACAAGTCTGAGCATCAAGCAACTTACATGCTCCTATTTTGTAGGAAAAAAGCATGGTGTTTTAACCATACATACTATTATGAATTCATTAAATTCTTACATGAATGCAGACACAAATGCAGAAAACTCCAAAGCCCTGGAATGAGCACAGGCTGAAGCAGTGCCTCAGACTATTCTCTTCAGAGTGCTATGGTACCCATGTGCATCTTTCAAAGAAAGGCCTTACATATCTCCTCAGTGTGTTAGCAGTCAACTCCACTACATGCAACACTACAGGAAATACAGTTCCTTACTTGGCACAAGCAATCCAGGAGGTTCCTCGATTGTGTGGAAGACAACTTCCTTGTGCAAGTAATAGAGGAGCCGACAAGGAGAGGTGCCATGCTTGACCTCGTGCTCACCAACAGGGAAGGGCTCATTGGAAATATGATGCTCCAGGGCAGCCTTGGTTGCGGCGACAATGAGATGGTAGAATTCGAGATCTTCAGGACAGTGAGAAAGCATGCAGCAAGCTCACTGCCCTGGACGTCAAGAGAGCAGACTTTGGCCTCTTCAGGAACCTGCCTAGTAAGGTTCCACGGGATAAAGCCCTAGAGCGCAGGGAGGCCCAAGACTGTTGGTTGATATTCAAGGATCACCTGCTACAAGCTCAGAAGTGTTGCATCCCAACTATAAGGAAGTGCAGCAGGAGGGCCAGGAGACCTCCTTGGATAGATAAGGACCTCCTGAGGAAACTTTGAAGGAAAAAAGAAGCTTAGGAAAGGTGGAAACATGGACAGGCAGCCTGGAAAGAGTACAGGGATGTTGTCCGGGAAGCTAGGGAAGAGGTTAGGAAAGCTAAGGCCCAGTTAGAATTAAACTTGGCTAGGGATATTAATAATAACAGGAAGGGATTCTACAGGTACATAGCAAATAAAAGACAGACTGAGGACAATGTGGGCCCCCTCTGGAAGCTGTCAGAACTTGCAACCCTGGATTTGGAGAAGGCTGAGGTTCTTAATGATGTTTTTGCCTCAGTCTTCATTGGCAAATGCTCTGACCACAGCACCCAAGTCTTGGAAGGCAGACTCAAGGACTGTGAGAATGAAGACCTTAGGGCCACTGTAGGAGAGGATCTGGTTTAAGATCATCTTAAGAACCTGAATGTACCCAAGTCCATGGGACCTGATGAAATCCATCCGCGGCTCCTGAAGGAGCTGGCGAATGAAGTTGCTAAGCCACTGTCCATTGTATTTGAAACATCATGGCAGTCAGGTGAAGTTCCCAATGACTGGAAAAAGGGAAATATAACCCCCATTTTCAAGAAGGGGAAAATGGACGACCCAGGGAATCACAGACCAGTCAGTCTCACCTCTGTGCAAAACCTTGGAGCAGATTCTCCTGGAAGGCATGCTAAGGCACATGAAAAACAACAAGGTGCTTGGTGACAGTCAGCATGGCTTCACTAAGGGGAAATCCTGCCTGACCAATTTGGTGGCCTTCTATGATGGGGCTACAGAACTGATGGACAGCAGTAGAGCAGTTGAACTTGTGCAAAGCATTCGACACTGTCCCACACGACAAGGATGTCTCTAAATTGGAGAGACATCAATTTGATGAATGGACCACTTGGTGGATAAAGAACTGGCTGGATGGCCACACACAAAGAGTTGTGGTCAATGACTCAATGTCCGGCTGGAGACCAGTAACGAGTGGTGTCCCTCAGGGATGGGTGTTGGGACTGGCCTTGTTCAGCATCTTTGTCAGTGTCATGGACAGTGGGATTGAGTGCGCCCTCAGCAAGTTTGTTGATGACACCAAGCTGTGTGGTTCAGTTGATACCCTGGAGGGAAGGAATGTCATCCAGAGGGACCTTGACACGCTTGTGAGGTGGGCTGATGCCAACCTCATGAATTTTAACCATGCCAAGTGCAAGGTCCTACACCTGGGTCGGAGCAATCCCAGACACAGCTACAGGCTGGGCAGAGAAAAGATTCAGAGCAGCCCTGCGGAGAAGGACTTGAGGGTGCTTGTTGATGAGAAAATGAACATGAGCCAGCAGTGTGCGCTTGCAGTCCAGAAAGCCAACCGTATCCTGGGCTGCATCAAGAGGAGTGTGACCAGCAGGTCGAAGGAGGTGATCCTGCCCCTCTACTCTGCTCTCGTGAGACCTCACTTGGAGTTCTGGTGTCCTCAACATGAAAAGGACATGGAACTGTTGGAACAAGTGCAGAGGAGGGCCACAAGGATGATCAGGGGACTGGAGCACCTCTTTATGAAGACAGGCTGAGAAAGTTGGGGCTGTTCAGCCTGGAGAAGAGAAGGCTGCGTGGAGACCTCATAGCAGCCTTCCAGCATCTGAAGGGGGGCTATAGGGATGCCACAGAGGGACTCTTCATTAGGGACTGTAGTGGTACGACAAGGGGTAATGGGTTAAAACTTAAACAGGGGAAGTTTAGATTCAATATAAGGAAGAAGTTCTTTACTGTGAGGGTGGTGAGGCACTGGAACGGGTTGCCCAAGGAACTTGTGAATGCCCCATCCCTGGCAGGTTAGATGGAGCCTTGGGTGACATGGTTTAGTGTGAGGCATCCCTGCCCACAGCATGGGGATTGGAACTAGATGATCTTAAGGTCTTTTCCAACCCTAACTATTCTATGATTCTACGATTTTCTCAATGAAAAAGGTAGGACTTCATTTTGAGATGCTGGTAAAACAGGTATAAATAATTGGGGGGAAAAATGATGGAGTATTTCCATAACTTTTATTATAAACACATAGATCAGATATTAACATAGGAAAAGAGAGATGTTACTAGTTAGGCCTTTAAAGGGCTAGGTGTCCTTAATCAGCCCAAAAAGCCCATTTTACACAGTATCCACTGAGTTCGCAATCTCTGTAGAACCACCGTGTAGAATCAAAGCCTCCAAAAGTACTGGGATATTCCCTGTCTTCTCTTTCAAGTACAGCAGCATTCTGCATAAGGAAACAGTTTCCACCTCTGTTTACTGCAGTTCGGCCACAATGAATAAAAAGATTCTCATATTCAAGTAAAGATACTCCAAGAACATCAGCTTAGTCCGGTTTCCTTTTTTTCATGTTACCCAACAGGCCAGGCCAAATGTTGAAACTGTCTGGGAGTTAATGCTGTCAGTCAAGATCCTCTAGGCCTACTGGGAACTCTGCAAAGAGTGTCAGTAAGAGCTAGAACTGATGTTTGCTCTCTGAGTAACATGCAGGACTTTTCCAGTTTGTTTATAGAACTGGTGAAAAGCAGAACATGTAAGAACCTGGGAAAATTCTTTTGTTTGCCCATTTTCAAAATACTAAATTTAAAAACCAAAAATGGTTGAAGTTTTAAAAGCTTTAATTATCAGCTGATAAAAGAGAAATATCAAAGAAATTCCATTTTTTTTACCCTTACTCAAAGTCAAAGAAGTTATAATAAAGATGCTCTGAGCTCTTCACTTAAATACAACGTGCTTTCCTGTTACAGCATTTTCTCTGCTCCCCGCTGTTCCTTTGCCTTGAACCAGCAAGTGCTCTCACTGCCACTCTTGTCCATGTCAAATGTTTGAATGGGGTTCAAGTTATAAAAAAAGCTAAAATTACTCAATGTCTATACAAACGTACATATTTGCACAGTCCAGACAGCAAACAGTAAATCTGTAAGCAGTGGATTTAATAGAATATATTTTTCAAATCCCATAGTTCAAGTAGGGCAGAGGCCTGTATATATGATCAGTCATGTACATGGCATTTTCCTACCTTAAAAATAACTGTCAATAAGCCCCTGAAAATATGGGGACTGACAGAAAAAATCGTCATAGAATTTTGCAGTAAAAATATAATTTGCAATAAAAATATGGGAATTTTTTCTTGCTACAAACAAGTAACAAAATACTCCCACACGTAATTTTTCACCATCCTAGACACGTAACAAATATTTCTGCATAGTAGCCCATCTTTTAAACAAAGTCTAAGTTCCATACTGTGCTGCATTTTAATTAATATCAAAAAGCACTTATGTCAGTAAATATTTGCTTACTCCGTCGTACATGGTAGTCTGGGTTTTAGCAATGTAAGCAAATGCTAGAACATTGTTGATTAGATAGGAAGTGGTTTACACATAAGAATTCTACACAAGAAATTTATCTAAAAATACTAGCCCTGATCCAAGGCAGGGTGGTTGCCTGTTTGTATTATTCCATTGATTCCAACCAGAATTCACCCAAACACAGCAAGTCTAGAGGGCCCTACTTGCAAAGATCAAAGAAACTCTTTTCTTTCAATCACTCTGTTTAGAGAGAAGGATGGGGGAACACACAAGCTGCAGGCATGTCAGGGAACTGAATTCATCGAAGATGGAGACTAGAAAAGTCTTTGGATACTGCCTTACAGCAAAGTTCCCTTTATGCCTTTTACTGCCACAGCCTTCCCACTTACTCAGGCACAAACTACTCTGATCAAAAGGTGTCAGCACGGGTGTAGCCCGAGAGGCTCAGAGGTATGTAGGATCAAGCCACTGACTGGACTGATTCCTGTGAACTTTGGAGTGTGCCCAAGACAAGGCTGCAGATGAGGATACAGCCAGAGACTAGTGAAGAAGATGCTGATTCAACCTGCTTCTTTCCAAGAGTGGATTTCTGTGCTCTTATGGAGCCTGAAAGGGACAAAAATGTATTTTTCAATGTGGATTTTTTAAAATCTAATGAGCACTTTTCCAGTTCCTAAGTTTTCCTCTTAATAATATTTAGCCAGTATTCCTCTTGATGAAACTGAGTTTTCCCTGTTACCATGGAGGTTTGATGTATTGGAGCACTTCCAAAGACTTGTATAGACGATACTTTTCTTTTTATTTATACTATTTTAAACAGTGTAGGAATATCTTTGTAGAAAAATCAGTCCTGAGTTTTATCTGTAGTCTTCAAGACGGACCAATGCTGTACCACTTAACAACAACCTTTTCAGGGTTAGCAATAGTATCTCTCCACTGCTTTACTGCTTCGCTGTTACTGCTATCAGAACTTATCCAGATCTGCAGAAAGAAACAAAAAGAAAAATAAAATTGAGTTTACTTGATAAAACACAGAGGCCCAGAATGTATTGGCTCCAAATAAATACCATGGAAGTGTAGAATGAGATACAACATGTAGACTGCGACCAAAGAGTAAGACCAACAAATACAGTTCTCTTGCAACTAACATATTTTGGCTGTCATCTGGGAACACATGGAGTCTGGGTTTAAATTTAGTCTCTAAAATAGTTTAGAGAGCTCACTACATACTAATGTTTCTGTGCTTAATAAGATGTTTTAAGTCAAGCGTTCCTTGCTCCACACAAATGCACGTGCTAGGGTCAAGGGCTCATGAAGGCCAGTGATGGCTCTATGCTTTCAAACTCCAGTTGGCTGCAAGCCATCTGGCATCCTCAGCCAGCTGTCCAGCATTTTCATATGCATTTAAAATTGCACACTCCAACAGACAAGGCCAAACCTGCATTCCACAGTTACTAGCATGCCCATACCACACATAGTCACGCAGTTGGAGTCCATTCTTTCTCAGTATTCAGTTAATGGATAGTGGCCATTAAGTGAGGAAATGAGGTACAAGGAGGACATTTTCCTCTGAACATTATCACCAGTCTCATTGCCAAAAAGAATTCTGCTTATGTAAGTAGGTATCGTTATTTACAGGACTCTATTTCCTCAAGTCTTCCAAGAATGAGTCCTTTTAAGACTTCTCAGAAACCTTCACTATGGAGCACATTTAGCCTACACTGCTGAGGCATGGAGTCCTCAAGAAGTGAGAATAATGTCTTCCAGAATACCACAGACATGTCCACAGAGATTCAATATACATTTTGCTCATGATTAAAGACATGCCTGTAAAAGCAAGCTAATCTAAGTATTGTCTGCTTAGAACAGCATCCAATTAAACATCACCCTCTGAAGAACAAAATTAATAGATCCAGCTATATTAATCTTTTTCCAGCTCTCCAGCCAATTGCTCAAAGTACATTTTTCCCTGAGCCATATTTTATGTCTTCATGTGTTATGTGGCAATGTCTGCCTGCATGAGCTGAAACAACCTTTCCAAGTAACCTCTGAGGAGCAGAAGTAGCTCATTTCCTGCCCCTAAAAATAAGATCTGTGATTAAATGTAACTCATCAGATTGAGATGACCTCATATATTGCTCAGTGACTCCAAGTCATACCCATTTATTTTTGCTTCAAGGTAGCACAAATAAGATGAACAATTCTAACTTTTTTTTTTTCCTATTCCAAATCCACCAACAGGAATTGCGAAAAGATGGAACATATGTGACATGAGGCTTCATAAAATGGAGGAACTGCACATAACTCTTGCTGGCACATTACTGCTGTAGCATATCAGCATCTCCTACAACTGCATGTCTTCAACAGGCAAAGAAACATCACCAGAATGGGACAATACTACTTTCTGTACCTAAGGATAGCACAGCCCTTCATATGACAAGGGACATTACAGTTGGTGTTTCAAAATCGATTCTACATTATTCATTTAACCATACATTAAAATTTTGCTACTAAAACTAGCTGAGTCAGGGAAAGCAGACAGCATTAAGAAAAGCTATGTCTTGCTATACCAAGAAGGAAAAGAATCATAGAATACCAGGTTGGAAAGGACCTCAAGGACCATCTGGTCCAATCTTTCTAGGCAGGGCACAACATCAACTAGATATCCCAGCACCCTGTCCAGCCAAATCTTAGAAGTGTCCAACACTGGGGAATCCACCAGTTCCCTGGAGATACTATTCCAGTGGCTCATTGTCTTCACTGTGAAAAATTTTCCTCTTGTGTCCAGTCAGAATCTCCCCAGCAGTAATTTGTGCCCATTAGCCCTTGTCTTTTCCAGGCAACTCCTTGTAAAAAGGGAGTCTCCATCTTCTTTGCAGCCACCATTTAAATACTGGAACACGGTGATAAGGCTCCCCTGAGCTTTCTTGTCTCTAGGCTGAATAAATACAGTTCTTTCCCCATACAGCAAGCTTCCCAGTCCTTTGATCATCCCTGTGGCCCTTCTCTGGACCCTCTCCAGCCTGTCCACATCTTTTTTGTATAGCAGAGATAAAAACTGAACACAGTATTCCAGGTGTGACCTGACAAGCGCTGAGTAGGGTGGGAAAGAAAGAAGGGGCAAGATGACTGTAATAGAACAAGGGGAATAAGACAGAGAATAAAGACACCAGACTACCAAGTTTTATGGTGGTTAAATAAATATGACCATGCAAATGCTTTCAAAAGAGACAGTACTGAAGTTCCAGCTGTTTAAAAGAGGGGATGAGGAGAGAGAGCACTCAAACATAATTTTGTGTTTGGTCACCTATGCTATCACTCAATCATACACATTTAGAATATTGTGCTGATTTTAGCACTGTTCTACCCAGGAAGGCAATCTGATTGTAGCTGTTGACAATTCCTTTCATACACAAGTGTATTGATATGGTAAGCCAACACACTCCCTTTCTGTACAGTACAGTATAGGTTGTGGAACTCCTGATAGTGTGGTTTGTTTTCTTTAGAAAGCCTAGACGCAAGGAGGAGATTGTACGTCTGTCTGTTTGAAGGAATCTTCCACATAGTAGTACTCCACACAAAAATGACTCCAGGATTTCTTAAAAGAAAAATCAAGTGTCAACACCCATTCTGATGTTAGGGCATGTTTAAGAGCCCAGTACTATTATTTCTTCGGTTACATCCAGGAGAGTTTTTTAGCATTTACTCTTTTGCTATATGCCACCTTATTTAAAGTATTTTAAAACTCATACCAAGAAACCTGTGGAACTGGATTTTAATTAAAGGATATCATGCCAGTTAGGAGAAACCAACCTGTCCTAGGAAGTGTTTTCTTCTCACTGAACTTCTGCTGTAGAGCTTGATGAGAAAGCCAATTCCTTGTTCAGCTTGGCTAATTGGAAAAATCAGCATTTCTCCCCACTTCACTTGGCCATTAGTGGACTTCAGAAGACGAGTCTTCTTCTTATAGATCATCCCTTCTGTAGTAAACATTCCAACTTTCACAAAGAAATCTAGCACAAAAGGGAGGGGAAAAAGGCATAGCACACAAAGGGTTACTCACAAACACACCCCAAAAAGAACTGACAAGATCTACATGTATTGTTCAGATTGCAGTAAATTCCCAAAAGTCTGGCCAAAAGGACTGTGCAATAGCTTTCCTGACTAGTCACACAGAGTATGTTCAATAATACTGAATTGATTAACACAGTATGCTAACAGCAAGTGCAGGCTAATGGTCTTATATGTCAGGATTAATACTGGGATACAAACCTTCCAAAATACATAAACACATAATTTCAAACCAAACAAAAAGTAATCAAGTAAGACATCTGTGGAAACAAGCCTTGGCAATGGAAATCTACTGCACAATATGTTAGTCTGAGGTTTGTAAGGAATGTTATGAACTGCCAACCCATTTGAGCAGCAATTTACCTGTTACAAATGCTTTTAGGCATGAGACAGCTGATGTAACTTACTTGAAGACAGTGGTGTGGATGGAACTGGAAGGTTTTGTGCTTCCAGAATCTGTAACTGTATCCTCCTGTTTACTGCTTGAAAACAAGTTCCTACTTGAAGTTCTGCACAGCACACCTACAAGCAAAAGAATGTTGCTATAACATCTGGATTAAGTTGCTTATAAATTCAGGAAACACAGGAATTCTGTCATATGCTGGGCTCCCACAGTTATATCTGGGATTTCCTGGACAGAAATAAAAGTATGTGGTGTATACACAACCTGCAGATGCACAGTATAAGTGTATCTTGCACTTGTTGTAGCGGCAGTACATGTGCTCCACTGGCGGACTGCTTACGTGCAGCACACAGATGGCCCTAGTGGGCTGCAGCCAGAGACACTGGATAAAAACAGTCACCTGGGAAAGATCCCTCAGTAGTAAGTGCAGACACATACAGGGAAAACCAGGCATGCCATTGTAGCTCTCCTAAACCTGGGTGTGGAAGTGAGAGACCCACTATGCTCCACTAGTGCAAAAAACCTTTGCAGTTCTTTTCCCAAACTTCTGAATTTTGCAACATGCAGATATAAGCAATGCTTTCTGTAGATACGAGACCCCATCACTTAATGTTATGAATATAAAAGGGTGACTGCATGCTGTGGTGTTTCCTATGTTATGGATGCACTTGGGTTTTACATACCTAGGTACATACACACCCCCTGCGCTCTGACTGTACTGCAAGCTCCAGCCTGAATTTTTGTATTTTATAGTTTATAGTATTTTTTCTAGTTGCAAGGGTGCATTGAGGCCTCCTCATTTCTCTCCTGTCAGATGCTAATGTACTCTGAGCACTTAAGAACAGCAGGAGAAGGCCAATGGAGACCCAGGTTTCCTGACAGCCTCCATTTAAAAGGGTTTTGCTAGTTCTACTTCACTTCAAGTTTTAATGGACTGCAGTGAAGCAAAATGTACCAAGTAAGAGAGGAACAGGTCACTAACAGTGAAGTCAGGCTCCAGTTCATCAAAGAGACCCAAATTCTCTTTGCAGCTCAGCCACAAAACTTCTGTGTAACCCTGAGAGGAAGCCACTTACTCAACTGAGCTTTGGCTCTCTATTGGCGAGTACTTGGTGCATGACAGGGTAGTACAGGGGTGAATTCCAGCAGTGTCTGGAGGGCTCTTAGAAATAATGGTGAAGAAAGCCAACAGAGAGAGAGAAACCATGAGGTGATACAGGAATTTACACTGGGATGAAGCAGTTTCTAAAACAGCTTCCTCTTTCACTTAAGCTTACAACTTTTGAAGCAATATGGTTATTCTTGTTGGAACTAAAAAATGTCAAGTGTAACTTACATTAGAAATCAAGAGTGTCATTCATATTACTCAGACACACTTAGATAAAATTTGCTTTTGAATTGCTAATTCAAGTTTAATTTGTTGCAAATACAAATGTCTAGACACAATCTGTTGAAGAAACAAACAAAGTGAGGGTAGGGGGAAAGGAAATCCCGCTGTGAAAGCCACCTGCTTCTTATTATGATAATGGAAATGAACTGCCTGAATTATTACTTCACAGCATGGAATCTGAACATTAAATATATAGCTATCTCTGCAGTTTCAAGCCACTGAAGATCTTGGCACTTTTCTTCCATAACAAAAACAGATTCCATTTGCTCTGAGCTCTTGCTGTGAGTCCTAAGGATCTTCTGACGCTTTTTGGGTCAGAAAAGGCAATTACCTGGTGTACATTGCTGAACATTTCCCCAGACAACTGCTCCCTCAAGCTGCAGGCCATGGTGTGGAAGAGCTTGCTCTAGTATTTTCTCAGAAACAGCTGCAGTTTATGACCAGAACAGATACAGTCTGCATTTTTTCCCCATCAAAATGCCTTTCCTCAAGAACAGGGCGGGGGAGAGGAGGGATGAGGGAAAGAAAAAAACTAAAAAAGGGTAAAAAGAAAAGATACACACACCCCCCCAATTGCATTAACATTAAATTACTACTAAATTACTTTACTTTCATTCCCAGCAATATTTCTAGTTGACAAAGCAACATACTTTTGCAGTATTGGCACTTACAGGTGCCTTGGAAGGAGGAGATATATCCAGCCAATGACTTGATTCTTCCGAGCTGAGCTCCCGCAGTGTCAAGGAGCACTCTCCAATTGTTTTTTTCCTGGGAGTCTGTGTCTGGATTTTAAATACCAATCGGACAGCCTGCAGGCTTTGCAGTTTAATAGCAAATACAAAAGTTTCCATAAATTCCATATCCTAGAAGGAAAAACAGAGGGGTAACATCACCACCATATGAGTCACACTCAACTCAAACCCTAAAGACTAGGGCTTCCTGGTCCTATAGCCACTGCTCCCAGGTACCATTTTAGGTTGCTATGGAAAGTGTGTTTTTGCAGTGGTAAATCCCCACAGACTCACCACCTCATTGTCACACCCTGGCAGGGACAAAGCTCTCTATTATTTTTCACTACCATAATGTGTTGAGGCCAGCCATCTCTTCTGGAGCTTTACAATAACATACACATTGTCAGAGCAAATTCCTCTGTGGCCCTTTGCTTCTGTCTCTCCTGCTAATTTTATTTCTTTTACCTCTGACTCACATTATGGAAGTTTTATGTTGCTTTACCTTCCACCCCCTTAATATTCACTTACTGACACTAGCAGGAGTCTTGTCCCATGTATGAACTTCATCTCCTGCCCTAATGAGAGGTAGTACTACATCTACCTTCCCTGGGGTGAATGTGCACCTACAGCTATGCCCAGTCTTCCTCCAGTCCCCAACAACTGAGTTGCCAAGGCCAGCAGTTCATGGTTTAGTCCCCTATAAGCCTATCTATCTGTCCTGCTGACTTGGGAGAGGAGGGCAACAGTACAATGCAAGAGAGGAAGTGGAACAAGGCTTTTAATAGGATTTTGAGAAGGGGGGCTGGGAGAGGTGGGGAGAAATAACCAGAACTTAGACAACTACCACAGCAAATATGGCATAGGAGTGAATGTTTGGTACATTAAAACAAAAAACAACCAAAACAAAAAACCAACCAACCAAACAAAAAAACCCCACAAAAACAAACCCAAAACAACAAACAAAAAAAAAAAAACCCACCCAAGAAACAACAAAAAAAAAAACCCCAACAAAACATAAACCAAACACATTTACATTTCACTTTTATTTCTTTGGGGAAAAGATTTCTTTGTGTTTTTCCTGCCTCTACTTACAATACACCCTTCCTTGGCAGAAGATTTGAAATGCACTGGTTTGGGCAGTGTGAGAATTCCCTTGACATAGATACGAGGATGTTCCCCACAGCTAGAAGGCCAGCTTAGGTCTTTGCACTGTAACATTGAAAAAAACAGTCATTTTAGACAACGTAAGACTCTGGCCTTCAGACAACTGAGAGTCTTCTACACTGTTCTAGAAATACGCTTAGTTCCTGTAATACTGACTGTAAATCAGAGCCAATGTAATGATTGCGTCACTTCAGATCTTTTAATAATTAATTTTTTACAACCAGAGGGTAAAAAATTGTTAAGTAGATTTTAATGATTTCACTATGTGGTGATTTGACAACAGATAAATCATGAAATCCCTTATGTATTATTTATCACTTGATGTAGTTATGAGGATTTCTGACTACTCAGACTTCCACTGCCTAAAAATTATTCATAGTTCCTGGAAAATTATAAAGCAGACAGCAAAACAATATCACATTAGCTAACAAAAAAGCCACAAGAAGTTACATGTCCTCAAAGTGTTGTTATGGTTCTGCCCTGAAAGAACTGTGAACTGTTAAAATCTATTAAATGCTGCCTCCAAACCAGCTCCAATTAGCTGCCTCCAAATTTCCATAGCAGGACCAGCCTATGAGCACCTCATCTTTCTTACCTATGCTGAACAGTTCCTCACTCCACAATCAGAACATATGTATAGTAACATACAGAGTTAGATTCAACTTTTGAATCAAGTAGATTCTACTTATTGCAGCAGAACAGAGATTGCAGTGGGGGGAGAGGGCGAAATGGGTGGGAGAAGGAGAGGAAGATACTTTGAATGATGCCCAATATTACATTATACTGAACTTTCCCTATATTGATACTTAGAAATAATTTTCTCCTAAAAGTATTCCTTAATGTAACAGGGAGGCAAATTTAATGAGAATTATCACTTAGTAAAATAGATACTTGAGTAAATAACAATCAAGTTATTTATATTTGCTTACATGCGAAACTGTGATCCAGATCTGTTCTACAGAAGAAACATAACACAACTTCACATTCAGTCTTCCAAAGTCTCGTTCATCACCTGATAATGTTATAGTATCTATGGAAGAAAGCCAATTAGTGTTTCTGAAAGTAATGCAGTATTTTAGAAGTTCATTCCAAGAATAATAGATTGGCTATAAGGAGGAAATTCTTTCCTGTTAGGGTGGTGAGGCACTGGAATAGGTTGCCCAAGGGAGATTGTGAATGCTCCATCCCTGGCAGTGTTCAAGGCCAGGTTGGATAAGGCCTTGGGTGATATGGTTTAGTGTGAGGTGTCCCTACCCATGGCAGGGGGGTTGGAACTTGATGATCTTAAGGTCTTTTCCAACCCTAACTATTCTATGATTCTATGATTCTATAATAAGGGAACTTGTTAGTAGGTGGACTGCCTATCTTTGAAAACTTCTCTCAAAATAAGTGTGAAATACCTTAACACCTACATTTTAAGGACAAAATATCCATAAAGTCCTGTAGCCTGACCTTCTGCATAGCTAAAAGCCTTCGTGTTTACCTCAGTTATCAATATTGAATTTTATAACTTGTGTTGTACTTGAAAAACTTTTAGAAGGGAAAAAAAGCATATGCTTGAGACACATTTATAATCTGTAACTTCCCTTAGACTGATCACTTCCACTCTTAAGGTTGCAAATTTGTCTGCTTTTTATCTTTCTCGGATTTCAGTTCCAGTTTAATAAACATTTTACTATTGTGCTTTTCACCAAGTCGGAAGAACCTTTTAACATCCAGTGTTTCTCTCGCATAACTGATACTGGGTCATTGCCCCTCCAGTCTTCTTTTTGAGGAGACTGGGTGAAATTCTGTCTGCCAGCAGGGTCAGTTCCATGGGGACTTGATTAATTTTTGAGGGCTAATTTTGCAGTATCTCCAGTATTTTTTCATAAACAAGCATACTAGGTTGGCATGCAATATTCTTTCCTAATTCTCAGTGTAATATGGGCATTGGATTCCAGGTACTTCCCACAGAAAAACAGTGATACATAAAAAAGGACTAGAACTGTGACCAAGGTGCTGCATTTGATCCTAACAGAACATCTGCAGTTTTGTACTTCACTGAGGTAGTAATCCAGGGGTGATTTTTTCAAAAGCATTTGAGAACTCCTCAAAGGCTCATTTGCTGAAACTCCTGATCATAGGAAAATGCAAGTCCAAAACTCTACATTTCGTATTGTGAAGTAGTCTCCAAACTGACTTGCTAATCATAGTCACCTAAAAAAAACCCAACCCCAAAAAACAAACCTCAAACAAAAAATATACTCAGACCAAACACTCTCTCCCATCAACAGCAGAGACAACTTTGTTTCAAGTGCAAAGGGAATTATTTCATTACAAGGAAAACAAACTAAACATTACCCAGACTCCTGTTACTGCCTTGTGAATCTTTCCTGGAAGAGGTACTGCTGGGTACACTGGATAAGGAATCATATCTCTGGAGAAAAAAATAAAGTCACTTCATTCAGGGCAACAGATGTAAAAACCCAGAGAGATTCTACCATCAGACAAGACATGATAAAAAGCAAGCAACACCCAATTTCAAATAATTGTTTCAGTCCCTCTGATCTCTTCATCCAGCAGCATGGAATTACTACTTTAACACAATGACAGCACAGATATGGACAGCTCAGAACCATAACCTCTTGTCTGTCTTGGCGTGCCTAACAGCCTGCTCAGTTTTCTCAACAGCCTGTTGGGCCAAAACACCAGTAGTCAGAAGAGACATCAGGAAAGAGCCTCTTGAAGCTGGTCAAGACACTGAACTTTTCCCCCTAGTCTTTCCAGTGCATAGTTCAATGGCCCTCAGTGTTTACTTTGAAAACACAATGCAACAGGAACAGATACACCAAGTGAGCTGAGTTTTCAGTATAACCTAAGTTACAAGGGGAACTCACCTTCATGAAGCGATGAGGTGGGCTTCTGAGGTCAAACATTGAACGACTTACATCAAATGGTCCAGGCAAAGCACTGGATCTCAAATCACTAACTAAAAAGACAAAGCAAACAATACAAGTCATGTAAGCAATGTTGCTAGAAAAAAAAATTTAAGAAGCTTTTTAAACATTTAAGTAGACCTATGGTAGGATTGAAAACTAGCTAAACAATACCTAAGGAGGGATGTCAGCACCTTTCCCTGCTTCCCCTTTTCAAGAGAGAACAAGCCATTAAAACATCATAATCAATTCTGTCTTTGAAATAGTTTGAACTTACTTGGTCACATTGGTAGCACTGGTGGAAGGGGAAGCCTGCCTCAAAGTTATTTCCTCAAGAGACCTGGTTGTTTTTGTAGATGCTTTAGCCAAACAGAAAGCCTTGTCTCTAAATACAGTCAGCCAGAGCTGGGGCTTAGGCTCATCTCCTTTTTAAAATTTTTCCACAGTTAACATCCCAGTGCAAAAACATGCTTCCTGCTAAATTGTCCCAGTCTCCCCAGCTTTACTGATCACAGTGTCAAAGCACCATAATCTGCACTCTTCCTAGATCTCAGATGAAGCAAGTCTTAACTCTAAGATGACAGGCACTTGTTATAGCAAAAAAACAAGATCTTTATTTTATAGAAGGATAGTTTCCTCAGCAGTTGGAGGTGCTTAAACAGAGCCTATCAGTTTTCTGTTGACCTAAAAGCAACGCAGAGCTAAAGCACGGTTGTCTGTGCATAGTATGTAGCACCAGTAGAAAATGAGAGCTGAACTAGTGCCACTGTTTCAGGAATCTTTGCTGACTCCAGTAATGTACAAGAGATTTTCAAAGCCTCCCAGCTTCAAAACTGACCCATACTGAAAGCAGTATGGTTTAGCTTCTGGGACTGTCTCACGCAATGAATAGCTTTCGCTTGCAATGCTGCGTTACAGTATTTCAGAATTGTTACAATATTTCGGAAGACTTCCATTACAACTCACTGATCATAGCTTAACAGAATTACATCACTGTTACTGAAAATTTATTTCCCTTTCTATTGCTATCAAAAGAAAAAAACAATTACGCTTCTTGTAAAATATGTCAATAAAGAACAAGTCTTTCTTTTCCCAAGGAAGAAAGAGAGAACAAAAGATAAAGATAGTTTTGAGAACCCGTAGGAGGAGAAGGAAAGTAATACAATAATTTAGATAAAATTTAATGAAGGTCTGTATGGCTGGCACAAGCTCCAAATTCTCTCCCATGCATGACATAAAAGGGCTGAGTTGTTCATGAAGTCTGGTGTAGCAGTACCACTAAAATATCATATGAAGCCTAGAAATCTTGTTTGATACAATGGGAGCAAGTAGTAGAGTCCAGCTCATTAGTTAATTTGAAATTTATTACGGTGATGGAAACTTATTCCATATTCAGTACTCATGACTTTCACAGGGAAACATCCACTTGAGCCTACAGGTTACAAATCACCAAAATGCTTTAAAGACAGTAACAATCTGCTGCACCTATTAAAGCTGCTTAATATTTTCAAAGAACACGGGGAGTGGGCGCCACATGAAAAGTCAAGAATTTCACTTCATACCTTCCAAATAAACACATTCTGTTCTAAGCCCCCCCCCCCCCCCCAGAATAGTATCATAGCACTTGCTGCAACAAAACAGGCTTAGAGTTTTGCTTAATTAGCCTATAGATGCACATGAAGAGAATCATGTAGGTTCTGAAAGAGTTGTCAAAAAAACTCTGGAGGAAGAAGACCTTTTAGAACTGCACTCTAGACACACTTAAGCAACCTTTCTTAAGCTTCCTAAGACAAAACTAGTGAAGCGTTTATTTAGCTTGAAGAAAAGCATAAGAGAGATGATGAACTGAAGGAAAAATTCAAGACAGTTTATAAAACCCATTTGGCTCCCACCACAGGTGCTTACAAAACCTAGCGAAACCATATGCGTTAAAGGCGGCTGAAATGCTATGTGTGTTTTGTTCTCTTAAAAAGAAAATAAATGGAGTAGTCTTCTCACGTAGTCTCTATGGTGATTCAGAATTCTTTTTAAAACAAGCCACAGAGATATTTTCCCCAGCTGTAAAAGAAGCATGCTATTCCATTCTAACTAAAACATCTTTTAAAATGCACATTGTTGCCAGCTTCTGATTCAATAGAGGTGTGTACATTTGTTTGACTGCATGAGTTTTCTGAATGTGTTTGCAGTCACTTACAGCAAGCAGCACTGAGTCATTTACTTTAATCTAAACAGTATTCATTATAGGATACATATACTAATGAACAGCACAGAAGTAAACTTTTACCTAGATAGCTAAACACTTTCTACCTGAACTTTTACTATCTCTCAGCCCTCCGCCATTCTTAAACACTTGCAATCAGAAGTAGGGACATTCCTGCATCTTCAAAGGCAAACTACAGAAAAGCTGGCATATAGCATCACTTCCCATTTTGCACCTATTCTTATAATCTACTCCTGGATGTTTTTTTGGTGCTTGTTCTTCTCTCCGTATATATGCAATCCTCATGCATTCCTCCACTCAACATACTGCCTGACCTCCTTTTTCCATCTCCCTCACTCCTATTACTGGTAACTGGAATCTGCAGTACTGCATCCTGTTTGAGATCACAGGCAGCTACACTAACTTGCCTTGCCAATTTGTGATGCATGCAAGCCTTTTTAAGCCCTCAAAAGACAGAAAATAGCAGTGCAGCTGGAAGTCAAGCAGAACTGGCTCCACAGACTGATTCACCAACCAAGAAGCATCTATAGCATGCAGACTAATTTGAGAACTGCTATAACTGAACACGTCTTCTGTAGACTAATGGCTTTTCTCTCTTACCAGTAAACCCTGGGAAAGACAGAAAGACAGAAAAATGAGGGTGCAATCCTTCTCACCTGATCCATATAATTTCCTATTATCTGATTTTGCTTGGAAGCGCCTAATCAGATCTGGCGAAACCCGCTGCTCCAAATAGAATGGGTTATACACGTCATAGTGGGGCCACTGGTACACGCCGTGCAGTTCTGCTTTCCGGTCACCAAATGAGGCTCTGGCAGATTCTGCAGTGCACAAGTAAACATCAAATGCAAGAGTTCCAGACATAACACATGCTGCCTGGCTTCAAAAAGCAGGCAGACTGCCTTCAGGGCAAAGGACAAAATATTTCAATATTATCTACTTCAGGAAAAGGAAAAAAAGAAGTAAAAGTAAAGAAAACACACATGCACAGTATGTCAGATTTCCACAGTGTGCCTGCAAACACAGGAGTTAAATTGGCCATAAAAAGCTATGCATACCCTGTCTTGGAGTTCCACAATAAATGCCTAACTGGTTAAAATACAGAAGGCTCCAAAACCAGACGGCAAGATAGAAATCAACAGCAAAAGCAGGGCCATGTGTATAGAAAACCTCTGACTTATTTGGCTACCTACTCTCAGTACATTCCCACTCAGCTAATGGACCCCCAAGCCTTCAGGAGGGTCTCATATGGAAAGATAATGAAACTTGTGACTACAGTCTCCCTGTCATCCAGTTTCCATAGGAAGTCTGTCAGTGGTAAGATCACTGGTCCAAAATGATTTGAATTGTTGGCTGAGGCACAAGTAGACAGATATGAGACTGCTTGAAACCCAGCCCTTTACTCAGCCCATTACAGCACAGGTTCCCTATTTTTCTTTCTTTTATTTATAATCATTTTGGGAAAAATGTACATGTCTCGGTCAGCAGAACTGCTGCTCTAGTGCTTCATTTTGTCTGTCTGGAGCAAAAGTAAGCTGCATATAACAGTACAGTAGAGAACAGGGATGGGGTGACCTGGACTCTGGAAAGCTCTGGCATTTGCTTCTTTCACTTCACCTTCCTGGACTTCAACCCATCTGTTAAAAAGTTCTTTCTTCCATTATAAAGTGCCTTCAATTCTGGAAGTGTGTTGCACCATAAGAGGCAAACTATTATTGCTGTAAAATCCTTTCTACCAAGTGTTAGTAAAAGTAAGTAACCAAGAATAACTAAAACAGTGAGATGGAACATGAGAGATGATAAAGCATTAATTCAAGTATAATGGGCTTGAGTATGATGTGAATCAGGATGAACACTAGAAGTGAGGCCACAAAGAACTGCCACATAGCAGATGATGGAAAAGCCAGTGTTCCAGAGCAGGAGCGCACTTCTTCCTGCTAGCTTACTTCTGTGACAGCATGAGACATGCTGCAGTGAGCACTAAAGAGGAAAGCTGCCAGAGCTTAATTGCTTTCAGAAGGGATTCCAAGAATTAACACTGAGCATGTTCAGTTTCACTACAGGAAAATGGTCAGACATGCACAGAAAATGGAGTGGAACTGAGAGCAGAACTTGGACTTTTACAGGTATTTAACAGTGGCCTAAGAGGCAAATACTCCAAATACATTTTTTTTTTAATACACTTTGGCTAATATGAAGAAGGAATGAGAGCTCACTTCAATGTGTTTAGTAAATCTCCCTAAAAAGTAAACTTTGCATTTTTAAACAGAACTTTAATGAAGCTTAAAAAATAAGTATTTATATTTGGAAAGAGGAATGGCAGTTGCCTACTTGACATAAGAGCCACTTTTTAAATATTTGTTCAAGAATTTAAAATATTTGCTGAAGAGAAATAATCATTCACAGTCAGGTCATCTTGCTAGAAGATCTACCAGGTTTATAGCCTAAGGGCCACTGTTCACCAGGTCCTTCAGAAATGATGATAAAGCAGAATTCCCAGTCCTGACAAACTTCTCTGTACACTATCCTGAGTATAAGGTTGGACAAAGCAAGGCAGAGCCTGAGCCCAGACCCAGTTACAAAGGGGATTACCAGGACCATGTCCTGAATGTCTGTACCTTGTCCAAGGATGGTGTTTCTTTTAAGAACCAGCTACTGAACTAGCAGGCAAGTAGGCTAACAGAGGTCAGGCTCAGAGACAAGGAGGGCCTCACGTATTCTACCTTCAGCTATTAGGTTGCTTGTCCACGTCTTGTGAGGCAGACCTCACCAAAAAAAATCATTAACCAGATTACATACAGAATGCCCAATCTATACCCAAAGCTCTGCTAAACTGATTAGCCCGGTTCTGGTGTCATTGTTACCAGCAGGGATGGGTGAAGAGGCAGTTTGGCAATAGGCTTGCAGGAGGACAAAAGAAGCAACAGCAAGGACCTAGAGAAAACAGGGAAGTGTGGCAGTAAAATCACACAAACACAAAGCAGTTAGGTAGTACTGCACTGGTTATTATGCAACATGTGGTTGACTTTTTTTCAGTTACTAGGGTTTCCACCTTCAGAAAAGAAATACAACCACATGGGACTGAAAGCTTATCACAGCCTCAAAGCAAAGCAACTCTAGAGAAAACAACCATTCAGGTATGCCCCTGTGCCAGAATTTCCCCTTACCTGATTCTGAGCCTCCCCTCACAGGACCAACATCCTAGCAATAGCATATGACCTGAAACTCATGTTACTGGGCCAGGCTCCTATTCTTTTAAAATGCCACTGTGCCTAAATTGCACGTACATCATTTTGGCAGTCTGAGCATGGGACTAACTGATAGAGGTTGAAGCATAAGATTGTCGTGAAGCAAAGAATTCCAGTAGCATGTGCAACCTGATTCCACTGAGATCCATGACCCTTGGCCTTCCAAAGAGTAACAAACAGAGCAGGAAATAGTAGGGGCAAAAAATTCCACCATGTAGTAGCATATGCTGTCTATCAGCAAAAATTTGAAAAGGAAGATCTGTTAGTATGTTAAAGCATATCAGTTCATTAAACATGAAAGCCAGACCACCCTCTTTCTTTACTTGAGTCATCTGTATACTAGGGATGTGTTAGGTCTTTCCTTGCTTCCAATAAACTCTCTACTAAAGCTTCTGTTTCCTTTTGAGTATGAGCACTGCTGTGCAATCCTCTCTTTCAGTTTTATTCATGCGATATCACAGAGATTCACAGTGGGAAGACATCCTTCCCAAAATCTCTCTGAGTGTCCAGAGATAAAAGAAACAGGAGCAGGCTTCTAGAAAAGTTCTGCAAACATATGTTTTCAATAGGGATACTTGACAACTTCTAAGGAGTAGCATAAGCTAGAAAACTATTTAAGCAATGCTGTTTATATTTTACCTTGAATCCCTCCATATGAGATAGTAGGAAGGTTCTTCGGTTGTACATAGGCCAGTTTGAATGGAGGGACCACAAATGGTACCTCCTGACCATCCAGGGGCAGTTTAGAAAGCAGATAATCCTCTGAACAGCCAACTTGACGCTTCACTGACACAGAAGACAATGGAGGCTTCTCTACAATAGCTGGTTTGCTTGTGGCTGCTGCTTCAGATTCCTTCACCATGGAAACTGCTAAAAATAAAATGCAAGAAAACCAGACAGTCCACATGTGTATTAAGTTTTGAGCAATACTATGAACAGAACTCTTATTTCACAGGATCTGTGCTTGATACCTTACTGCTAGTGTTCAGTTTTACTAGTATTCAGGACTAGCACCTGGAAAAGATACTCATCCTCATGACACCTGCATTGATCCAAATTCTTTGTTGTCCAAGCTACTATATTTATAGCTACCTTGCTCTTAAGTGATTTCTCACAACAGCTACACTTGTATCATAGGAGAGTTCTTCAGACATCTAAGATGTTTGCAAATCCACTGAGAGTTTAAAAAAGAAAAAAAAAAAGCATTCACTCTTAAGAGTTTGAAAGATACGAGACAATTACAACCTTGGGTAGCAAGCTAACTTTTTTGGACAACATTCTAGGCTGCAAGGAGCAGACTTCAGACAAGTGTTATTTTTCAGTTCCAATTCCAGTTCCTAGTGCTAACAAGCATGTGTTCAATCTTCAGATGAGGTATGGAAAGAATCTTGGATATCATAAAAGAATTCAAGCTTATCAGTTGTAGCACAGTCATTTTACTAATGGGAAATCTCATAATTAATGAAGCCAGAACAGCAAAACCCTTAGTTCATGTCATTATGTCAGAACTCACGAGAAGTTTTTTCTTTTTCCATGCAGAAACACCATTTACAGCAGTATTTTATACATTCCGTTGCCATTGTTTCCAGTGTTGCGATTTAGAGATCACAATCAAAGATCCAGTGTAGCTATCAAACCTGAAAAACACAACAAACCATGGCAGATGGGAATAATTGAAATCAAAATACAGTATTATGAGTTATTTAATACATGACTGCTTATTGGACACAGTCCCAGGGTCAGTGAGAAAGTTACTTCAGTCCTAAAAGGATCAGAGCCATCAGATTTACTCAGATCTTAACCAAGACAAATTATGTTTTATGTAAAAGCACAAGAAAGAGATCATTTTAACATACAGCATGCAAGTACTTCCAGTGACCCCCTCAGATAGGTCCCTGTCTTTTGGGAACACTAAAATTCTTCTCATATTTCTGTGTATCACTGGGCTGTGGAGTTTATTCAGCTTTACAGCTGTTTTGATGTGGTCTTGTCAAGTCATTTGCAAGATGTGTTTTTTATTCCATTCCCCTTGTTCATGCTTCTCCTATCCTCTTTCACTCATGTGCTATTTGCACATACATCCGTATGCGTTTACATTTTTCACTCAACATATTCCATTCTTCACATTTAAAAACACTTGTTATGAATTATGCCAAAATTGCCTTCTTTGAGGAACTACTGCTTTCTCATAATTGTATACACATGAATCTGAAGACTTGTTTTATTATATTATTGTCTGCTATGCATACAGAAATAGAGAACGCTGACTTCCAGCACAATAAGAGGCATGTAATCTACCAAAGAATGAGAACAAATCTATAACAGCTGGTTAACATTAAAAGAAATTTATGACAATGCTAACTGGCCTCATTTAAATGTCTTTATTCATATCCTTATGTTCTCTTTTCAGAGGGACTCGAACAGCTGCATTGCCTCCTGTCCAAAACTTTAGCTGTCTAAGTCTAGTTCTTTTCCATGTACCTAAAGTACACAAGGTTCTTTGTAGAACATACCCAAGACATGATTCCAGCTCCATGGAGGTCAGAAGACACCAGGCAGCACATAAATATTAGATGAAGGATGGAGAAGACAAGAAGAGAAAGGGGGAAAGCATAGAGAGAAGATGACAATTATACACAAATGGACACATTTGCTCAGTTATCTCAATGGCAAGAAATTGCTGAAAGTTTCATTGCTCCAGCACAGGAGTCATTCCCACCTGCCGCTTGAACAGTGTCATCATTTTCTTTGTATGCATATTCAAAGACAGCTAGGGAACCACACAAATACTGTGGAAATAACACTAATATCCCCAAAACTTTTATTTCATTAAAAGCCCCTCGAAATTCTGATGGATGCCAAGTGGAGATATTAAGCTACAGACACTTCATCTAACTTAGAAAACGTGCTTTCTTGTGTTAACATTATTTATTTCCATAGGTAGGGAGCAACTGAAAGTTATCAACAGATGTATCAATTTGCAAATATTGACCAAACACAACGTATCTTTACTGACCTGCTCTTTCACACCCTACAATACCTCAGTACTGCTAGTTATGTTTTACATTACGGGTTTTGCAAAGTCACTGAGAGCACGTGGCTTCATGAGGAAGTCTTGAATTAACTTGGTATCTTTAAAATGTGAAATATACTGAAGGTTTATTATTATAACTATATAATTGTTCCAGAAATATTCTTAATCCTGAGCTATCACAAACTACTAATTAGAAGGCGATTCTTAAAATGTATTCCCATTATGCAACAAGGACCTAAGGGAATATTTGGTTTAATACAATTTCTCTGAATAATTTTTGCCGGTTTTACCACTAAGTGACATTAACTATTTCCTCTAGTTTTATACTGCTCTTTTTGCTCAATAGACCAAAATAAACAAAATTCAAGTGAATGTAATAACCTCAGAAGCAGCCTGAATACGAATAGCACACGTTATTCTGGAAAATGGGAATACTGCTGAAGAGATTACAGCTCAGTTTCTATCCAGACACCATAACCCTGAACAGAATCCATCACTCGGTATTTGCTCTGATCGCAAAATTGCCCATGTGTGTAAGTACAGTATGAGATCAGCATGAAAAAATCTTCAGAGGCCATGCCACGGACTCCAGAACCTGCTCTGCATCTATACTGGGGCTCTAAAAGAGGCAAGCGAATTTCTCACTAAATTTTTCACGTTTCTAAGGATCAAATTTTCACTGCTGCTCTTCCCTCAGAGGCATGCTCATGATACCTAAGCCTGCTAGAACTACAAGTTTACTTTAAGGTTCCCTTGCAGTGATTTTCCTTTCCAGCTGTTATCAATACACAGCTGGTGTTAATATGCTTTACTCTTGTTCACCATGTTTAAACTGGGCTGAAACAGCTGCTTCATTTGCTCTAAGCTTTGAAACAATGGTATCTAAGCCTCACTGGCAGTTTGCACAGGCAAAACAGTCTTTTATCTCAAAATGTCCAGATTGAATTTATTCACTACTGCTGGTGAAGAAACCAAAATGTCAGTAACCATCCCACTTTCCACCTACATAAAGTGGAAAAATTGATTTTTCTGCATCAGAGAAGATTCAGTTTATGGTAGGGATCTTATTTTCCCCAGAACTATTTAGCTGAAGCCATTAATGTAAGCAAATAAACAAATGTAAATAGTCTGTCACGAGTTGCCTTTCCATCAGGAGATGAGTGCCTTACCTAGAAAGACAGGGTTTTAAAAAAAAAAAAAAAAAAAAAAAAGTTTCAATATTTTAAGCTTAAAAATGTAACGGTTTAAGTGACAAAATTTGTGCTTTTGTTCCTAGACTTCTATCAGACCCCCATTACAAAAAAAAAGACTGCATTTGCGGAGGGATAGATCACCAACATGCAGTGCTCTCTCGTTCCACTTTGAGCACTTTGCTTTGTGAAATCCTAACATGGATGGTCTCAATACAGTATCTCTGTACTTCATTAAGCTACAAAGATAAATACATATGGGGGTTTTTTTGTTTAGTTCAGAAGAGCTATCTTGGCAATAAATTAGATGGGTTGGATCCAGTTCATTTTTTTTCTCATATCTTTGTTTCCCAAGTTACTTAAGGTTAGTTACACAACTTTCACTGCATGCAAATGTTTCATCTTAATCATGTGGGACAGAGAGAAATTTATCAGGTTCTGTTGCATATTTAATTAACCAAAAATGAACAAAAATCTTGCAGAAAATTAAACCAGTATTTCATGATCTTGACAGAGGCTGACATTTCTATCAAAGGTTACACTTCTCCCACATGCCAGAAACTTCTGCAGGTGTCAGCTACCCAAAAATCCTTAGTGTATCATGTAAGAGTTGTTAAAAGGTTGCACTAACGTGCATTTACCTGGAAGTTTTCCAAATAAACCTGAACTATAGTTTAGTTTGTCAGGTGCACCACCTAAACACTGACATTTGTTGGGTGCACCACCAAATCGCAAAGAAATACTGACTTTCCAGCAATACCATTCTTAACAAGAAGTTAGGACTCCTTGACCCCATCTCTAAGTTTTCAAGTCAATTTTTGTTAGGCAATATGCATACATCAAAGACATCTTCCATTTTGGAGATATTAGACTGAGAAAATGATAGGAAGAAAAGGAGAATTATCCTCGATTATCAGACAAAATAAATGAGATCAAGAAATCAAATCATTTGCAGTGGAAGAGGGAACTGAACCCAGATCTTGTCACTCTGTCTCAAACTCTATGGCTTCCTTGGTATTTTTCCACTAATTTCAGTAAGCTTTTTTTATTTCTCTCTTCCCAGTATCAAGCCAAAATAAGATAATCAAATGTAACTCAGCAATAGTTCTTCCACACCAAGGCAGAAGAAGAGCCAAGTTACTAGAACATCCTGGAAACAACAAAGTTTAAAAACCAGCCACACACATACACTGAGCCTAGACAATTACAATCACTACTATTTTAATGGGTTTAGATGGAGAACATAAATTATCTTAATGATTTCCAGATTTCTCAGATAGAAATTTTGAATGAGCTAAAATCAGATAAACAAAGTATCAAAGACTTCAGTTCCAAATGCCTCCAGGATGATTACAAGACAGAGCTGTTTGGAGAAGAAAGTGAATATTTTCAACAACTCGTTAAATAAAAAGAACATGGTAGAAAAAGGATGATCACAGTATTAAATATTAAAAGCTGAAAGGAGTCTGAAAAAAAAATTCAGGTCTTTGCTGCCTTATGATAAAAGGCTGTGTTTTGCAACAAGTTTGTAGGCTGTCGATGAATTTACAGCATCTAGACACAGCAGTGTTCCACAGAAGTTGATCAGGTAACACATTTAAAACCATGCAACAGATACAAAGGTGAAATAGCTGGTGTCAAACTGGGAAAGTTATCTAAACCAGAGGTTTCAAAGGTGATGAGATTCGTTGCCAGCAATAAATGTATGAAACACATTCTGAGACCTGCATTCCAGAAACACATCACAGCAAAATTTCTAGTAGCAGGAAGTCATCGCAAAGCAGGAGGTGTAAAAGTTGTTATTCAGCATTTGGGATAGATCCTCAAATGACATAAGTGTCTATAGCTCCAGTAGCCCCAGCAGAGCCATGATACATTGCAACATCCCAGGATCTTGCCCTGTGCAGAAAGTGAGCTCAAGCTTGCCAGTTCATACCTCAGCCAAACAGCACATTTATGCTACCTCTGTGCCTTTCTGCCTTTCATATCCAGGAGACGCAGTCAATCCCAGCCATATAAATCCTTCAAATTGCGTAACAGTACCCCTGCAGGTCTCAGAAGATTAACAGGAACATAGCACAGCAAAAGCCGCTCCTGATGCAGGTCAGACAGATTCTCTTTTGACAGTGCAAATGCTGCAAAAGGTTTAACTCCCATGGCAGCTGCTTTTTGAGTTTTGTTTCTGGGGGAAGAGTGTCTGGGAGCTGCTCACCAGTCTGAGCACAGCTCCTTGTCTGAAGAGGGGTGCCTGGGCCACTGCATCTCAAAACCAGTCAACATGAGTGAACAGCTTCAATGGTTTTGAGAAATTTGCTTCCAGGTACTTTGCTACTGTATCAACAAGGACAGCACATGCACCCAACTACACACATCGCACCATGCATAGGCATATGCTTGCCAAAGGCATAGAATC